TCTTTTCTTCCTTTTCTTTTCATTTCCTTTCTCCCAGATTTTATCAATTTGGTCAATTGTTTCTGTAATAGGTGCATAGGTATGAGATGCCTGCACAACTACTAGGTGGTAGGAGCACACTATCATGCCAAGTGTGCGCTTGTGCACATAGGGAAATGGTCTTGCTTCTTTAATCTCTTTTAGTGTGTGATGCATTATCTTTGTACTTATGTTTAGGATCTTGTATCTACTCCCCTCATCCAATATCAGGAGCGGCACTTGGTGTTTACTTTCACTGTCAACCTTTAGCTTTATGAGTCATCATTGGTTATTTTCTCTTTAGGCACCATGTGCAAAACACATTCTCTTTCAGTCTTATGTGTGCAAAATATGTGTTTACTAATGGATGAGTTATTTGTCTCATTTTCTCCATGGTGTGGCAAGGGTGGGGTGGGGATGGAATAAAACCTGTCAAAACAACACTTCTGCTCATTTATATTCTTCTGAAACTCAACTATTTTATATTTTGTGATGTACAGGTTGCATCCTATGAGTTCACGACCTTGACTTGCATTCCAGGAGTTATCATGTACAGAGGAGCCAAAATTCAGGTAAGATTAATGTCTTTTCCTAAGCCTTCTGGGTTTTTGGTGTTCAATGTGTGGTCATCACACCCTGATATCTGAAGCATGTTTTACTTCAATTGTGCGTACTGTATCTGATGATGAAATCTAAAAGAGGATGTTATTTCTAGAGAGGTTTATTTTATTTATGTAGTAAACATTAGAATCAAAGGCAGATACCTTTGTTGATATAGCTTCTGAATCCTGATTATCTGTTGGAAATTTCTTTCTTTTATTTTCATGCATGGTCTCAATTTTGTTAGTTTGATTTGAAGTACTAGTAGGAGAAATATATAATTAAGAATAATGCATGTTTGCATCTTTTCTTGTTCTGCCATCTACAATTTTGAGTTTTTTACTAAATTTAGAATCTGATGTGATTTCCTCTTTCACTGGCAATTAGGGACCTGAATTTATCTTGGGAGCTTCTGCATATTATTCTATTAAATGCTGGTTTAATCCTCTATGTGCCTGATTTTTGAAGGTTGGAATGCTAGAATATCCGAATGAAATATTTTGATTTAAAGTTGCTCCTCAGAGTTAAGTTTTCTAGGGGATAGATGCAGCTAGTTAGGTCATGTAGGCATGTAAGGTGAAAGGATCTTGAGTGTAAGGTAGCATTTGCTAACTCTAGTTTTATCAGACTGGACAAGACAAATAAGTTCATACTTGTCTTGGTAACAAAAATACAGGGCCAGGGCAGCACAGAATCACCTTTTGGTGGGATTATTTTCTTACCTGCCAAACCATGTAACAAATTTGTTTCTGAAAGAAGAACAAAAACAAAATTTCACTTCCCCTAAGATAGCTCTTTGGTCTCTATATCATCTCTTCTCTGAATCTCATCCCTACTCTCTCAAATTGAATGTGAGTTAATGTGGTAAAGTTGGAAGCTGTAGTTCATCATTTTAATAAGAATAATTATCAACAAATTAAGTTTGAACTAATTTTATGGTTAAAATGACATTATATTTTCAGGTAAATAATTTAATTATTGAAAGTTTTAAACTAAAAATAGTTACTTTTGTTTACTTTTTTTTTTTTGAAAGAAAAAATTAGAATAAAATTAAAATGGCACCAAAGGGGGTACCGTCCATATACAAAAGAATTTATAGAGACGTAATGGTATCAATGACATCCTCAAAATCTTCATCCCTAATAATGTCATGCCCCAATATATAAGACCCAAAATACTTAAACCACCTATCTCTAAGTTTGTGTCTATCAACTTCTACACCCTTAAAAGCTCTATGATTTCTTTCTTTCCAAATGACCCGAATATAGGTACTTTTGTTTATTTATTAATAAAAATAATATATATTCCAAAAATTAAAGATTGATAATATATTTGTTTGAAAATTTGATTTTTTTTGAAAAATTATAAAAATTGATAATATTTTGAACTCAGGTAAACAAAACACTAAATTATATAAGGGATATAAGGACATAGAGGTAACTATGCGCTATTTCTTGTTCCATGCAATAGTTCAAGAATATAAACAGTACACACTTCTCATGTGTTGTCCAATGCATACCAAACACATGAGCTTTCTCTGTTAAATCCTATAAAGTCATGTGCTATCCTCTCAAGTCCTATACTATCTTTCAGTCAATTGCTACCTAAAAACAGGTATAGCTATTTTGACGTAAACATATAACCTCCATTTTAGTTATCTTATTTTGGTGGAGTAATGGAGGAAGATTCCGTACTGTCACTGTATTGCTTGATTATTTTGCTGTTAGTTTGTTTAGTTCATGTTTTTATGTGGGACTTTCCTTGTTTATGATCTTGTTTTCATGTAGTTGTGCTATATTGGTTTTTTATAGTTCTTTTTTTGTGCTATCATGATATTTTGCCTTGATATTTTGCCTACCTACGGATCTAGGATAAATTTATGGATTCCTAGATATCACTCCTAAGAACTATGATAAAAATAAAATAAAAATACAAAAATACAAAAAGAATAACTATGAGTCATACCTAGGATCCCTCAAGCATCATAGTTTGGCTCTTTAACCATCACATTTAAGATATGACCGAACCATACTGCCAAGTTGCTGAGAAAACTGTTGTGATAATTGATTAACTCATGGTTCTCATGGTTTATCTATAAAATGAGCTAAGGTATTGATGTTGCTAATATAAAATCCTTACCTAACTATAGTAAGGAATTCTAATAGAAACCTAATGTACAAAATTATTCAGTCCTATGTTTGGTACCAAAAGTAAGTAACAGAACAGTCTGAAGTATAAAATATAATTTTAAAATACCAAATGTCCATGTATTTTTTTTTCTTATTTCTAAACTACCATTTGTCCCTTTACTCTCTACGTAAAGCTCATTTCTTTACTAATATTAATAGTTTAATATTTTTATTAAAAATTACTTTCAAAAATAAAAATTATTAATTTTTGTTTGAGTAATTTATTAATATGAATAGTTTAATGTTTTTGTAAAAAAATCAATTATCAAAAATAAAATGATGTTTTTTCTGTAAATAATTTATTAAAACGAATAGTTTAATATTTTTGTAAGAAATTATTTATCAAACATTAAGTAATATCAAATTAAAGAGGATACTACTTAGTTTAACATATTTGTGTAGACATTAAAAATATGTTTTTATTAATGAAAAAATAAAAATTTAATACAATATAATGCAAATGGCATTGTAGTAATCACAATGTGCCTGTACAGTTTATTGATTACGAAACATTTAATAGGAAAAATTTGTATAGTTATATACACGAAATGCATCACTATATCTTGTCTTGTCTTGTCTTGTCTTGTCTTATACCATCTTTTTTAGTTTCATCCTTTATAGTTCCTTCATTTTTC